GATTAGACTTCCTTGGAACTTTGAAGTTCAGAGCTCTGGATCCTCAGGGACCAGTCAAAGAGCCCTATGCCTCTACACTTGTTGAGTACCATCTCATGATGGTTTCTGGTTGATCTGAACTGTCCACTGCTGCTTCCTGTGGTTTCCTGGGTTCCCACCCTGGGGATTTCTCACAGGAGACCTTTACTCTTCTTGTCTCAGGACACAGACTCTTGCAAGCTAAATGTGCTTCATATCTGATGTCACTATTGCTTACTTTGCTGGAGTGGCCCCCAGCCCATGGGACACTGTCTAACTTTTTGTGCAGTTCTGGAATGAAAGAAGTCATTTTGTTTTGTTTTAGGCAATTGGGGTTAAGTGACTTGCCCAAGGTCACACAGATAGTAAGTGTCAAGTGTTTGGTCTGAGGTTGGATTTGAACTCAGATCCTCCTGACTTCGGGGCCAGTACTTTATCCACTGCACCACCTAGCTACCCCAAGAAGTCATGTTTTGATGTAGTAGATATATCGGAGCTGGGCAGTCTGTATCCTTAGCAGGCTAGAGAATGGTACTTAAAGACAGAACACATTTAGCAACTAGATGCTCTAATCTCCTGCTGCCACCTCATGGTTAAGTGGCCAGCATTGCTAGAAGCCCAGAGGCCACTTGTCCTCTGCATTGCCTCGCCAGCTTCACTGAGGCCATTCTAATCCAGTCCTGCCCATGAAAGCCGAATGCTAGAGCCAGTCTGGTGCTTCAGATTTGGAAATGAAATAAAATGAGATACTGATAGTCCTTCTAGCAGTTAATGAAAACAGGTTTACTTAGCTACCATAGGCAAAAGATATTCAGTGAGGGCAGTGTTAGAAATAAGATCTTGGAGAAATAAAGCCTTCTAGTTAAAAATGAAATTAAGCTCAGAGTGAGTGAAGAATCATTTATTTTACGGTTCTTGGAAGAACCGGGCAAAACCTCTAAGAAGAGATTATGCTGATTACAGAAGCGAGAAAACATTTTATACTGTTAGAACACCGAGACTCCTCCCTTCCAGGCCTGGGATTGGTCCATTCCTTTCCAGGTTAAAATCTTACACATCCATCATTTGGGTGGGAGACACTCTGGCAGGGATGCTGAAAGAAAAAGGCCTCTGGCACTGAACCTAGTGGTTTAGCTTGTTGATAAGCTAGGAGTTATTGGATATTCCCACCTGGGCAAATTTCTTTGAATTCAGAGGTCAGCCAGAATCATGGTTCAAGAGAGAATCCACAGGCAGAGCCAAGATGTAAGATTAAAGGCAGGGACTTGCCTGAGCTCTCCCCCAAACCCCTCCAAATACTTTTAAAAAATGACTCTCAACAAATTCTAGAGTGGCAGAACCCACAAAAAGACAGAGCGAAACAAGTTTCCAGTCCAAGACAACCTGGATGGTTGATAGGAAAGGTCTGTTGTACCAGGCTTAGAGAGGAGTGCAGTCTAGCACAGGCCTCAGCAAACCTGGAGTAGGCCTCAGGTGTCTGAATCGGTTGCAGTAGTGGTGGTTTCCAGACTTCTCAGCCCACAGATACCAAGACAACTTAGAAGGTCAGCTGGAAAAGTTTGTCACACCTGGGTGAGAGAGGAGAACAATTAAGCGCAGGCCATACCAGCACAGACCTGGCCTCAGTAAACTAGGAGCAGGCCTTGGGAGTGAGTGAATTGGCAGTAGCAATGGCTGCTTCAGGAGCTCTCAGCCCACAGACAGTATGGGGGTCAAACGTAGTCAGAAGGGGATTACAGGGGTGTCTCTCTCTCATCACTCTCTCTCTCTCTCTCTCTCTCTCTCCCTTTTTGTGAGGCAATTGGGGTTAAGTGACTTGCCCAGAGTCACACAGCCAGAAAGTGTTATGTGTCTGAGGCCACATTTGAACTCAGATCTTCCTGACTCCAGGGCCTGTGCTCTATCCATTGCACCACCTAGCTGCCCCTAGGGTTCTCTTTGATAGCACTGAGGCAGGACTCTTGCTCTGCCCATACTTGGATCTGGGTCACAGCCCTGGGTGGCAGTCCTAGGGCAAGGAGGAGCACTAGCATAGCAGAGCTTGTGGCCACAGTGGAGGGGGACCCTCCTAATGGTTCCAGGGCAGAAAAGTGTGCTTGTGGTTGCTCATAGACCAGAGCACAGGTCAAGAGAGTAGTAAACACCTCTCCTTAGATCATACCACCTTGGAAGAACTGAAAACTTACAGGTCCCTAGAAGTATCTCTGAAAATAGCTGCACAAATTCCCTGAAACTTAGGACAGTTCATCCTCCATAACTGAAGCAGAACTCTACCTTAAGACTTAAAAGTCAAGTAATAGGCTGAGAAAATGAGCATACATCACCAAAATACTCTGACCATGGAAACTTACTTTGGTGACCAGGAAGATGAAAACACACACTCAGAAGAAGACAACAAAGTGAAAGCTTCTATATTCAAAACCTCCAAGAAAAATACGAATTGGTCTCAGGTCATGGAAGAACTCAAAAAGGATTTTGAAAAGCAAGTAAGAGAAATAGAGGAAAAATTGGGAAGAGAAATGAGAGTGATGCAAAAAAAATCATGAAAAACAAATCAACAGCTTGCTAAAGGAGATGCAAAAAAATACTGAAGAAAATAATGCTTTAAAAAATAGACTAGACCAAACAGCAAAAGAGACCCAAAAAGTCAATGAGAAGAAGAATTCCTTAAAAAGCAGAATTGGTCAAATGGAAAAGGAGGTCCAAAAGCTCACTGAAGAAAATAATTCCTTAAAAATTAGAATAAATGGAAGCTAATGACTTTATAATACATCAAGAAATAATAAAACAAAATCAAAAGCATGAAAAAATGGAAGACAGTGTTAATATCTCATTGGAAAAACAACTGACCTGGAAAAGAGATCCAGGACAGATAATTTAAAAATTATTGGACTATGTGAAAGCTATGATCAAAAAAAGAGCCTAGACATCATCTTTCAAGAAATCATCAAGGAAAACTGCACTAATATTCTATTTCCATAGGGTAAAATAGAAATCAAAAGAATCTACCAATCACCTCCAGAAAGAGATCCCAAAATGAAAACTCCCAGAAATATTATAGCCAAATTCCAGAGTTCCCAGATCAAGGAGAAAATATTTCAAGCAGCCAGAAAGAAACAATTCAAGTATCATCGAGCCACAATGAGGATAACACAAGATTTAGCAGTTTCTACATTAAAAGATCGGAGCGCTTGGAATATGATATTCTGGAGGTCAAAGGAGCTAGGATTACAACCAAGAATCACCTACCCAGCAAAACTGAGTATAATCTGTGAGGGGAAAAAAGTGGACATTCACAGTGAGACTGAGGAATTTCATGTATTCTTGAGAAAAGACCAGAGCTAAGTAGAAAATTTGACTTTCAAATAAAAGACTCAAGAGAAGCATGGAAAGGTAAACAGGAAAGAGAAATCATAAGGGACTTGTTAAAGTTAAACTGTTTACATTCCTACACGGAAAGATGATATTTGTAACTCATCAAACCTTTCTCATTATTAGGGTAGTTAGGAGGAGTATATATAGACAGAGGGCACGGATGTGAGTTGAATATGAAGGGATGATATCTAAAAAATAAAGTTAAGGAATGAGAGAGGAATGTACTGGGAGAAACAGAAAGGGAGAAGTAGAATGGGGTAAATTATCTCACATAAAAGAGGCAGGAAAAGGCTTTTTACAGAGAAGAGGGGGGAGGTGAGGAGGAGTGAGTTGAACCTTACTCTCATCAGAACTGGCTCAAAGAGGGAATAACATACCCACTCAATTGGTTATGGAAATCTATACAAGAAAGTAGGGGGGAAGGGGATAAGAGAAGGGGAGGTGATAGAAGGGAGGGCAGATTGGGGGAGGGGGTATTCAGAAGCAAAACACTTTTGAGGAGGGACAGAGTGAAAGGAGAGAGAGAGAGAATAGAATAGAATAAACGGGTTGGGGGGAATAGGATGGAGGGAAATACAGTTGATCTTTCACAACATGACCATTATGGAAGTGTTTTGCATGACTACACATGTATACCCTATATTGCTTGCCTTCTCAATGAGGTGGGGTGGGGAGGGAGGAAGGGAGAGAATTTGAAACTCAAAGTTTTAAATATGAATGTTAAAATTATTATATATGTAACTGGGGGAAAATAAAATACTAAATAAAATAAAATACTAAAATAAAATACTAAATAAAAATTAAGAAAAAAAAAAGACAGAACCCATGAAGGGTCATCCTTTGTCCAGTTTGCCCTAGACATGTGATGAAGTGAGAAATGTTTCTCTTGCTCACACAAGCAAACTGTAGCATCCTCTCAGCAATGCTAGGTCAGGGCCCATTACAAAGAAAGCTTTCTCTCTGACAAAAGGCTAGGAGGTCTTGTGGAGGAGCTTTCCAGAATCCTAGAAGGACTTCAAGCTGACCAGGGAGGGGAGGTAGGAAGCTATGAAGTATGGGAAAGATGGGCAGCTGATGCCTTCTGCTGGTTGGTAGCTATGAAGAAGTGCAAGAGAAACTATTGTCCCAGGAACTAAATTTGAGAGTCTCAAACTATCCATGCTTCACTTTCTGGTCTAGATCACCAGGCTTCAACTTCCTTCTACCCTTGAGGCCCCTTTTTCCCATTGGTGACTTCCTCCTTGGAACTTCCATTTTGAAAAAAGGGCAAGTCCAGCCATGCTTCACTCTCCAGACTTCACCACCATGTTCCTACATCGGTACCTTACCCTACTCCTTCCACATACTTGCTTTTCATTTCCATCTTCTGCCTTTCAGAATGTTTGGACCACTCCACAACTCTTCTAACAATGTGTGTACATGTCTTGTCTTTCTATAGCTCCTCAAATAATTGTTATTTTCCTTTCTGTCATCTTTGCCAAACTAATGGATAAGAAATGGAACCTCAGAGTGGCTTTGAGTTGTATGACTCTTATTTTGATTATGAATAGTATAATTTGGAACATTTTCCTATGTGGTTGTTGATTGCTTGCAATTTGTCTTTTCAGAATAGCTTACTCACAACATGAGAGGCAACTAGGTGTTGTGGTGGATAGCTAAGAGGTAGGTCTAATGGATGGTGGGCTAACTCTGGGGTCATAATATTGATACACATAACCCACGTAAACAAAAGCTCTTTGAGGTCTCCAATAATTTTTAAGATTATAAAGGGATCCTGAGACCAAAAAGTTTGAGAACTGCTGTACTAGATCACACTTTTTTTTTTGCGCTCCAGATAACCTAGATCTCTATATATAATCTCAACTTTTTAAACAGATTTGAAAATGCTTTTACTTTGGTGATTATTATTGACATTTCAGAGTGCTTAGGGATATAATAAAATAATTTGTAAGGGGGTGGAGATAGGGTGCAATTTGTATGGTCAATAGCATAGATAGTGCTTATGAAAGGACATGAAAGGAAATTGATTCCCTGGTGTTGGATCCTGAAACTCGAGGGGAAGATAACTGATAATTCAGTTCAATGAATGCTTATTAATGTATTGGGTATATGCTAAACAAGAAAAGAAATGAATCAATCTCTCATCTTAAGGAGATAACATTCTGCAAGAAGAATACAGCATATATGCAAGGTAAGGTGAGAATGGAGAAAATACTTGAGTAGTGGGAGAAAGTTGATCTGGAGACCCCTGATCCTCTAATTTCCCACAAGCCTAATTCATGAAATCACAGGAGCTCAAGGGCCAGTTAATAGACAATAAGATGATAAAGTCTTCAAGAAAGGGAAAAGAAATGACTAATTTTTGCTTCCATTTTATCAGATGTGAAGGAATTCTTTAATCAAGCTTGATGGCATTATTGAGCCATTGGCTGACAGAAGGATCCCCATACCCTTGGTAGCCCTTGAAAAAATGAGACACTCTCCAGGCAAAAGTCAATGCAGGAGATGTCTCTGAGGAGTTTAATCTGTGGAGGAACTATGGAAGAACCACTCAGCTCTTGAGAGGAAGTAACTCCTTGTTCTTTTGAGGAGAGGGAGACATTTTTCTCTCTTCCCCCTTCCCCCTTCCCCCTTCCCCCTTCCCCCTCAAACATGGTGTCTGGCAGTGCAGCTGCTTGCCCAGTGGGGGCTTCTCACAACCAGGGAGAAGGCTGTGAGAGGAAATAAGATGTACCCAGCAGAAATATTATGTCCCTTGTGAAGTCATCAAGAGAAGAGAAAGAAAGTCAGGCCCTGAGGCAATAGAAGTATGAGTCTCCTTGACTTTGTATGTTCTCTAATTGTGTTCTCACTCTTTCCAATAAGGTGAGGTTTTGTGGGAGAGTGTGTTTCTGGTTGATGGGGGGAATATTTTATAACTATGATTCTTACAATACCATTTTCAGTAAATGCCTTTGCTTTGAGTAAATTGTGTCAAGTGACTAACTGTTAAAGGCAAAAGCATTGATGGGGACTCATGAGCTGTAGTTTTAAGAAGGTGGACCCCCAGAGCACGTTAAACCTGAGGTTAATTCCTCCATCCCTCCCACCACCCCCATGCAACCCTTCAAAAGTTGATTTCCTGAACGTCCTGCTGAAGCAACTAAAACTGCTTCATTCTGACTAATGCAGCCATGCAGGAGGCAAATTAGTATAGAGTATAGGAGGGAACAGTTACCATAGTAAGAGAAAGCTTCATAATCTTTGTGGGTAGACTTGGCGTAGCAAGGAGAATGAAGAACCAAAGCCCACCCCTGGTGAAAGTCCATAGGGAAGAGCAGAAAGAAGAGCAGCCAGGAAGAGACACTGGGAGCAGCAGCTAGACGGTTCAGAGTGGATCCAGGATGCTGAGGTGTCGTTTAGAGATGTGTGGATGTAGGGAGGACACAGTGTGCAGGTGGTGGTGTTATAAAGGATATTCTTAAATGTTCAGAACTTCTCTTAGTAAAAAGTAGAGAGAAGACACCCAAAAAATGGCCATCTTTTCCATTTTCTCTGCAGTCCCTAGACCTGGTGCTGGAAGGCAGTAAGAAGCTCCCAGCTCTCAGATTACCTGAGCACAAGCCTCAGTGAGGAAGTTGGCTCTATCAAGAACCTTGACTTAAGCACCAACCGCATGTAGAAAGAACTGTGGCAAGTACTGGGGGAAAGACAGCATTCCAATTAGACACAAGGTAAGGAGCAGCTTCCAAAGAGATTCCTGAAAGGGCAGGGGTATCCAACTTTTTATGATGAGGAAATGCCTTGAAATCATCTGGGTGGTACTATTACTGACAGGTAAATACTACTCATTGGTACAGGCAGCAGAGAAGAGCTGTCATTTCAACCTCAGCAATTTTGGTCAACCTTCAGATAAACATGGCTATAAGGAAACAGCCACTCTAGGGTGGAAGCAGCTTCAAGGAACATGAAGAAACAGAAGAGAGTCAGACTGCAGAGAGAAGACCCTGGATATCCAGGTGAGCAACCCATCCAGAGAGAAACAATATCTAGGTCATGTAGTAACAGGAGTTGTGAGTTGGCTTTGCCACACATGCATCCTACAGATCTACCTCACTACCACTGTGCTCCAAGTTTGAGTCTACTTTCGCCATGGACACCGTGTATTTGTGGGAGAGTGTACCCCAGGTTTATGGGGGGTGGTGTTTGATAACTACTAGTCTTTCTATGCCATCTGAGTAAATGGCATTGCTCATTCTGTCTGCTGACTGGTGGTAAATGGGGGCTCTTGAGATATAGGGATGTAGACCCACACAGTAGTCCCTACTACCTGGGACAGCAGCCTTTATTTGGGAACCCAACCCGTAACTGTGTGTGTAAGTTGGGGAGGAGTCCAGAGAGAATGCTACTCAAATTTGCTTGGCAGTTTTATAGGGTAACCTAATGCTCCTTGACTATTGGAAAGCCAGTATCTGCTGTGGGATGAGCTGAGATGTACAATGATTTAAAGCAGATGATTTCAGAATTGATTAAAATTTTTAATTATTAACTTTTGTTATTATATCACTTTATTTCTGAATATATCTTTTCCTTCTCCTCTATCCAGTGAGCCATCCTTTATAAAAAAAAAAGAACAAAAAAGGCAGGAAAAAAGGGAACATTGACTAAAACTAACCAATACATCATCAAAGTCAAAATCTACTTTAAATAGATCCATGTTTTGTTTTAATTGTGCTTATTGATACGGGATGATCATGAAACTAACCAAATGCATTCTGTACTGTGACTCTAAAAGTAGGTCAGTTCTTCATCTTTGGTTTTGCCCGTCTGGTAATCTGACAGCTCCATTGGCTTATTTGTGTGAGGGAGAGGTTGAAATACTTTCAAATGTGCATATTGATCACCTCCAACACGTACCTGCAAATAAAGCAAAATGGAGAATCTGTGACATGTATTCCAACCCAGCATCTCTCTCCTCTCAGGGCCATTGTATGGGCATTGCTGTTTTGGGTAGGGGTTTGGACCAGATGACCTCTGATGTGAATTTTATATTTTTATTCTAACCTATGAATAAGCCTATTTATGCTTTGAAAAAATTACAGCAGAAAGTTACCTGAAAGATCATTTAGTTTTATCTTTAAAGCTAAGGGAATTGAGTCCCACAAATGTCCAATGAACAAGAATATTCAGATAGGTACCCATATCATGCTACTGTTAGTGGATTTTTTGTTTTTGTTTTGATTCAGTTTTTTGGCCTTTTGGTGAAGTAATCCAGGTTGACTTGCCCAGGGACAGCTAGTAAGTGTCAGGTGTCTGAGGCCAAATTTGAACTCAAGTCCTCCTGAGTCCAAGGCCAGTACTCTGTCTACTGTGCCACCTGGCTGCCCCTGCTGCTGTTCATTCTTAAGGTCACAGATTTAAAGCTGGAAGGAACTTTAGTGCCATCTGCTCATTGTGTAGTTGAGGAAACCAAGGCCCAGTGAGGTTAGTCTCTTGTCCAGTTTGCAAGTTACTTGTAAAGCTTTTCGGGGATGCAGTGGATAGAGTAATGGACCTGGAGTTAGGAAGACCTTCAGTCATTTCTTGTCTGCCACAGTTTCCTCAAATGAATTCCTCAGTCCCCCCAAATGGGGATGATAAAAGCACCTACCTCATAGAGCTGTTGTGAGGATCAAATAATATCACATTTATAAAGAACTTAGCATCATGCCTGGCACATAGTGGTTGCTTAATTAACACTTGTTCTTAACCCCCCCCCCCACCTTTCTCTTCCTTTCCCTTGTCCAAAGTCACAAGGTAATTAGCAGCTGAGCCAAAATCTGATCCCAAATCCAGGGCTGTTTCATTACAGCACAGCTGACGCTAGTTGTTAAGCACCTGGATTTTTGAAAAACCTAAGCAGCTAATTTTTAGTAACAGAGTCAGTTACTATGTTGAATTTGAATTGTGCCTCTGTCCCAGAGTTTCATTTATTTTTGAGTCTTTTATTTTCTCAAATGTGTAGGAAAAAAGATCTTGTGTCATACAAAAATATGGGTTCCCTCTTTTTGATTTTGACCCAAGCCCCTATGAAAATGTTGTGACCTTTGTACATCTTGTGCTTTCCTTCCAATGCTGCGTTCCTTGAGGGATAGCCCTAGCTGCTCACTGGTCCCATCTGTGGTTTTTAATCTCCCATATCCCTCCCAAATAGTAGCACTTAGCACACTATCTTTAGCAGAGTTCTATCTTTAGAAAATCAGAGTAAATGAAACCAACAAGACAGCTAGGTAGTGCTTTGAATAGGTAAGTCACACAACCACTGTAGGCCCCAAGTGACTCCCTAGGACTGATCAGCCAAGTCAGTAGTTGGGTTCAGATCTGTGTTAGTAGAGAGGGTTCTCAGATCCAGCATTTCCCACAAAAAGAGAGAATGCTGGGCCTGGAGTCAAGAAGACCTGAGTATGAATCTCACCTCAGACACTTGCTAGCTGTGTGACTCTACGTAAAGTCACTCAATCTCATTTTCCTCCCCTGGGAAATCTCTCCTCCTCATTTGTAAGCATCCAATGAGATAATATTTGTGAAGGGCTTAGCACATAGTGGGCACTTAATAAATTCTTGTTTTCTTCCTTCCTAGGCTGCAGCAGATGCTACTGCCTGGCTGACATCTCATAGCACCTTAATATACCCTCCTTAACTCAGCTGAGATAGTTCTACTCTGCTGTACCTTAAATAGAGAAACACTTGGATCCAACCTGAATACATTTCCTAGGTATCTCTACCCACAATCCCCAAAGTGGCCAAGGAGTTCCCAGATGTGTGCCACTGCTGGCTACACTGAGGCACTCTAGGGTCATATATTTCTTTTAAAATTATGCTATAGTGCATAGAGTGCTGGCTTTGCACCTGGAGAGGGTTCAAATATTCTGACACTTACTAGCTGAATGACCCTAGGTAAGTCATTTAAGGACATTAGGCAGGCCCCAAGCAACTCATTGGGGCTAATCAACAAAGTCAATACATTGGTTTTGATCTGTGTTGGTAGCGAGGGTTCATAGACCTAGAATTTACTGCAATAATAAAAATCCATCATGAATTTGGACAAAATCCCCCAAATATGTCTAGGATTTGGAAAAAGTAAAGTGCACTCCAATAATTTCTGATAAGATTGTGTTTGAAATTCTGTGCACCAATGAAAGTGATTAGGGTCCATGGTGACCTGGTACTCACATTTTGTGATATAAGACAAGATGCTTACTCTCAAGCAACATATAATCTAGTTGTTGGATTCAGGACATTAATATATAAGCCTTGTTTCAGAGACTATCACGACATTAAAGATCCAGTGCTTTGGGAATTTTCTTTTCTTTTTTTTGGCTAGGCAATGGGGTGAAGTGACTTGCCAGGGTCACACAGCTAGTAAGTGTCAAGTGTCTGAGACAGATTTGAACTCAGGTCCTTCTGATTCCAGGGCCAGTTCTCTGTCCACTGCGCCACCTAGATACCACATGGCATTTTCTCATTCTTTGATCTTATGTATCCCATCGAGGAAAGCCTGGGACAATGTATCCTGAGACTTACTCTTTACTTGCAAGCATGCAATTCACAGTCTTATGGGCTCACATTTATTAAAGGAATCATGAAAACAAATGAAATTCCCCCAATAAATAATCGTGAGTAAATAAAGTCTGTATGTAAATTCTCAGAGTCACAGTCTTAAACATAAGAGCTTTCTCTGATAGAAACTCATTTCTATAAATCCTGTCTTGGCCTTACTTCTCTCTAGTTGCCTGGCTATTCAAAGTGAGGGTAAAGGGGGAGCCCTTAGCATTCTGTTTTTCTCTCTCTCTTCTGCCCCCCCATCTCATTTCATCATGTGTTCTTTGTTGTCATCTCTCAGTTTCACTATGAGAGCAAAACCTACCTCTGCTCCCCAGGTTGTCATGAATCACATCCCAAAGTCCCTTCTTCCTTTCTGCCCTCTTCACTTTCTCTCAGTTACCACACCATCACTTTATATTTCCTCTGGGGGAGAAACTTTATTTCCTCCAGTTACTCATATGGGAAGGAGACAAACTATTCCCACACTTTCTATGTAAATCCAAATGGAAATAAACTGAGTAGAATTCAATGACTTGTTGAACCTTTACAAAATACATGGTCCCAGCAACCACTTGTGTTTTGTATTCTGCAGCTTCAAAGCAGTCATATTTTTCATTGGACTTTTTTTCAAACTGTGACTTTACCTTAAGAAAAGAGAGGAAGGTAAAGAATTTAGTGGTTATCTGAAAGTATTATTAGTTTTGGTCTACTCAGTGGCCAATGTAGCACTGACAACCATGGAAATTTTAGTCAAACCCCCCTTTTCTCCTAATTCCTTAAACAATTAATAAATGATTTTTTAAAAATTATGTTTTTGTCTGCCATGCCTAAGGCATTGTGCCAAGTGCTGAGGATAAAAACAACAACAACAACAACCACACAACTAGCTCCTGCTCTCAAGGAGCTTACGTTCTATTGGGAGGAATACAATATTTACCCAAATTAGTAAATACCAAATACATAAGAATACTTTCAAAAAGAAGAGCTCAATTCCAATGGAAATTATTTCCCCCAAACTAGGAATAAATGATTGATTGATAGATTGATTGACCACTCAAGTAATAGACGGCTAATGTTCCCTCAGAGACTAGAGGGCACATCTTCTGGTAAGGATTCTATAAATCTCTGAGTTGCTCAGGATGCTAACACGGAGTCTCAGAGTCTTGGTTGGAAGATAACTCAGTGGCTAATCTATGCACAGTCCTATCAATAACTGAAAAACCACCCCCAATATATGACATATCTAATGAGCTGAAAGGCAGTGTGATGCACTGGACAAGAGTTCTGGATTTGTATCCAGTGGACCTGGGTTCAAATCCTGGTTCTGTCACTACCTGTGTGACCTTGAACAAGTTACTTCACTTCTGTGGGCCTCAGTTTCCTTATTCATAAAATAAGGGGATTTCACCCTAAGGGTTGACCCCTAAGCTCTCTTCCATCTTTAAAATCTATGATCCCATGGTCATCCAGCCTTTGTTTGAAAACTTCTAATGAGGGACAGTGGAATGGTAAAGAATACTACCTTAGGAGTATTATACCAGGAATTCAGGGCAGATTCAAAATTAGTAGAACTATCAGCATAATTGACCATATCAACAACAAAGCTTACAGGAACCATATGATTATCTCAATAGATGCAGAAAAATCTTTTGACAAAATGCAACACCCATTCCTATTAAAAACACTAATGCTAATTAAATTTTTTTCTTCTACAGCTATGCCTTTTGATTTATTGAATTCTAGGTTGAGGGCATTCTAATCCTGTCTCTGATTCTTACTACATATGAACTGGTGCTGGTCACTCAAAGTTTCCTCATCTGTAAAATGAGGAGGTTGGACTAAATGATCTCTGAGGTCCCTTCCTACTCTAGATTTATGATCCCATGACCTTCTCATTCCACTTTTAGATAACTCTAGCTATTAGAAAGGTTTTATTTATTTTAAGCTTAAATTTGCTTCTTTTTAACTTCCTCCCATTGCTGCTGTTTCTGTCTTCTGGGGCCAAACAGACCAAATTTCATCCCTCTCTATCCCATCAAGTACCTGAAGACATCTATCCTGGTTCCAGTGAGCCTTCTCTTCTCCATGCTAATCAATCAATCAATAAGCATTTATAAAACACCTACTTTGTGTTTAGGCATTGTGCTAGGTACTGGGAATACGAAGACAAATAATCCCTCTGTTTAACCTGGAGAAGAAAAAGAGTCATTTTGGTGCCAAAATATCAGATGCAGAATTACTTCTTTAGTAATCATCATCATCTGATACTTCTTGTTGTTTAGTCTTTTCAGTGGTGTCCAACTCTTAATGACCCCATTCAGGTTTTTTGTTTTTTGTTTTGTTTTTTGGCAAAGATACTGGAGTGGTTTGACACTTCTTTCTCCAGCTCATTCTACAGATGAGGAAACTGAGGTAGGGTTAAGTTACTTACCCAGAGTCACACAGCTAGTATATGTTTGAGGCCAGATCTGAATTCAAGAAGATGAGTTTTCCTGACTCCAGGCCCAGTGCTGTATCCACTGTGCCACCTAGCTGTTCTAAATTTACCAAGCATTTTATTTATGTCAATTCAATTGACAATGCCCTCAACCTAGAATTCAATAAATCAAAAGGCATAGCTGTAGAAGAAAAAAATTTAATTAGCATTAGTGTTTTTAATAGGAATGGGTGTTGCATTTTGTCAAAAGATTTTTCTGCATCTATTGAGATAATCATATGGTTTCTGTAAGCTTTGTTGTTGATATGGTCAATTATGCTGATAGTTCTACTAATATTGAATCTGCCCTGAATTCTTGGTATAAATTCTACCTGATCATAATGTATTATTCTTGTAACAGGTTGCAGTAATCTCTTTGTTAATATTTTATTTAAAATTTTTGCATCTATATTGATTATGAAAATTGGTGTATAATTTTCTTTATCTGTTTCAACTCTTCCTGGTTTAGACATCAGTGCTATGTTTGTATCATAAAAAGAGTTTGGTAGGATTCTTTCTTTGCCTATTTTCCCAAATATTCTACATAGTATTAGAATTAATTGTTCTTTAAATGTTTGTTAGAATTCACTTGTGAATTCATCTGGCCCTGGAGATTTTTTCCTAGGGAGTTCATTTATGGCTTGCTCAATTTCTTTTTCTGAAAGAGTATTTTATTTTTCTTCTGTTAATATGGGCAATTTACATTTTTGTAAATATTCATCCATTTCACTAAGATTGTCAAGTCTATTGGCATATAGTTGAGCAAAATAGCTCTTAAATATTGTTTTAATTTCCTCTTCAGTGGTGGTGAATTCACCCTTTTCATTTTTTGATACTGGTAATTTGGTTTTCTTCTTTCTTTTTTTAAATCAAATTAACCAAAAGTTTATCTATTTTATTGTTTTTTTTTCATAAAACCAGCTCTTAGTTTTATTTATTGGTTTAATAGCTTTGAATTTTATTAATTTTTAAAATTTTATTAATCTTTCTTTTCATTTTTAGTATTTCTGCTTTAACATTTAATCAGAATTTTTAATTTGTTCTTTTTCTAGCTTTTTTAGTTGCATGTCCAATTCATTGATCTCTTCTTTCTCTATTTTATTCATGTAATCATTTAGTGATATGAAACTTCCCCTAAGACCTGCTTTCACTGCATCCCACAAGTTTTGGTATGTTGTCTCATTACTGTCATTCTCTTGGATGAATTTATTCATTGTTTCTATCATTTATTGTTTGACCCCCTCCTTCTTTAGGATTAGATTATTTACTTTCCAATGAATTTTTAGTCTATCTTTCCATGGCCCTTTATTACATGTAATTTTTAATGCATCAAGATCTGAGAAAGATGCATTTAATATTTCTGCCTCTCTACATTGAATTGTGAGGGTTTTGTGCTCTAGTACATGGTCAATTTTTCATGTAGGTGCCATATACCATTGCTAAAAAGGTATGTTCCTTTCTATCCCCATTCAATTTTCTCCAGAGGTCTACCATATCTAATGCTTCTAAAATTCTGTTCAACTCCTTAGCTTCTTCCTTGTTTATTTTGTGGTTAGATTTATCTAGTTCAGAGAGGGGGAGGTTGAGGTCCCTCACTAGTATAGTTTTGCTATCTATTTTTTCCTATAACTCCCTTAACTTCTCCTCTAAGAATTTGGATGCTATACTACTTGGTGCATATATGTTTAGTAATTGTGTTATTTCATTGTCTATGGTACCTTTTAGCAGGATGTAGTTTCCTTCCTTATCTCTTTTGATTAGCTCTATTTTTGCTTGTGCTTTGTCTGAGATCAGGATTGCTACCCCTGCTTTTTTCACTTCTGCTGAAGCATAATATATTCTATTCCAGCCTTTCATCTTTACCCTGTGTGTATCCCTCTGTTTCAAATGTATTTCTTGTCAACAACATATGGTAGGATTATGGTTTTTAATCTATTTTGCTATCTACTTCTGTTTTATGGGAGAGTTCATCTCATTCACATTCATAGTTATGATTACTATCTGTGTCTTTCTCCCCATCCTATTCCCTCCCCTCATTTATACTTTTCTTTCTCCTTTCTCCCTTTCCCTACTCACTACAATTTTGCTTTTGACCACCGCCTCCCTCAATATTCCCTCTCTTCTATCAGCCTCCTCCCTTTTCTTTCCTCTTTTCCCTCCTACTGCCTATAGGGCAAGTTAGATTTCTATACCTAACTATATTATTTCCTCAGTGAGCCAAATCCAATGGAAGTAAAGTTCAAACAATGCTCATCTCCCTCCCTTCTTTCTCTCTACTGTAATATGTCTTTGTGCCTCTTTTCTGTGTCCTCCTTTCTTCTTCTCCCAAAACAACCCCTTTTCACCACTTAATTAGGTTTTTATCACCACATCAAAGTCAACTTAACCCCTCCCCCTCTGCCTATGTGTATCCCTTCTAAATGTCATAATAAAGATACAGTTTTCAGGAGTTATAACTATCATCTTCCCATGAAAGGATGTAAACAGTTCACTCTTATTGAATAACATGTTTTTTTTCTTCCCTGTTTACCTTTTTATGCCTCTCTTGTGTCTTGTATTTGAACATCAAATTTCCCCTTAAGCTCTGATCTTTTCATTAGGAAAGTCTGGAAGTCCCTTATTTCTTTGAATGTCCATCTCCTACCCTGAAAGGTTATGCTCAATTTCACTGGGCGATTGATCTTGGTTGTAATCCAAGCTCCTTTGCCTTATAGAATATCATATTCCAAGCCTTCCAATCTTTTAATGTAGAAGCTGCAAGGTCCTGCATAATCCTTACTGTGGCTCCACAATATTTGACTTGTTTATTTCTGGTTGCTTGCAGTGTTTTCTCCTTGACTTGATAATTCTGGAATTTGGCTACAATATTCCTGAGCATTTTCAATTTGGGGTCTCTTTCAGGAGGTGATTGGTGGATCTTTTCGATGACCATTTTACCCTCTGGTTCCAGGATCTCAGGGCAGTTTTCTTTGATGATTTCTTGAAAGATGCTGTCCAAGCTCTTTTTTTGATCATGACTTTCAGGTAGACCAATAATTCTTAAATTATCTCTCCTGGATCTATTTTCCAGGTCAGTTGTTTTCCCAATGAAATATTTCATGTTTTCTTCTATTTTTTTATACTTTTGATTTTGTTTGACTGATTCTTGATGTCTCATAGAGTCATTAGCTTCCATTTGCCCAATTCTAATTTTTAATGAATTGTTTTCTTTAGTTCCCTTTTGTAACTCCTTTTCCATTTGGCCAATTCTACTTTTTAAGGAGTTGTTTTCTTCATTGCACTTTTTTCCCCATTTTGTCAATTGTATTTTTAAAGGAATTATTCAATTTTTCTCATACCTCTTTTATTTGACTTTTAAAATCCTTCTTGAGCTCTTCCAAAAAGGCTTTTTAGGCTTGAGACTAGTTCATATTCCCCTTTGAGGTTTTGGATATGGGTATATTGACAATGTTGTCCTCTCCTGAATTTGTGTTTTGATTTTCCCTATCACCAAGATACTTCTTTATGGTCATTGTTTTTCTTTGTTGCTTCTTGCTCATGTTGTTTGCCTTTTTTTGGTTTTCAAAGTTGATCTCTGCTTCTGGAGCAGAGGGAGCATTGTCCCAGGCTTCTTGTGTTGGGGCTAGGGATCTGCTTACTAGTCTTGTGTGCTGGGGCTTCAGATGTTGGCAGCTAGAAGCTGTAGGCATCTGGTAGTTTACCTGGTGCTGAGCTGGAGCTGGTGGTGGTGGCTGGTATGTGCCTGATGTTGGTGCTTGCCTGCTCCACCACCTTAGGGCTCAGGATCTCCCACTGGTTTGCTGAGGTGGGGCTTACTGCTGGCTTACTGGGACACTTCCCATCCCGTGCTGGTTCCCTTCAGCCACAGTGAGAGGGACATTTTCCATTAATTCCCCTAGCCCCTGAGCTAAAAGACCTTGTCTTTCTGCTGGCTCCACTATTCCAGGATTTTTCCTGGGGCAATATTCTCTGGGTTTTTCAAGGTCAATAAGGGAGTGTGAGAGCAACTTACTGTTTACTGTCCATTTTGGCTCCCAAGTCAAAATAGGTAACTTACAAACATTCTGTCTGTGGGCTGATAGCTCCAGGAGCAGGCACTGCTGCTTGTGATTCAGTCACTCCCACTACCTGCTCCTGATTTGCTAGGACTAGGGCTGTATTGGTTTCTCTCTCACTCAGTTTGGACAGACCCTTCCTGCTGACCTTCTAAGTTCTCTCTGGCTTCTGTGGGCTGAGAAATCTGGAAACCACCTCTTCTGCCAGTGATTCAGTCCCCCGAGGCCTGCTCCAAGTTCACAGGGTCTAGCAGGTTGAGCTCTTCTCTCAGCCTGGTGCAACATACCCTTCCAGGTTGTCTTGGATTGGAAATTTGTCTCACACTGTTTCTTTGTGGTTTCTACTACTCTAGAATTTGTTCAGAGTCACTTTTTAAAGTATTTGAAGGGGTTTGAAGGAGAACTCAGGGGAGTCACTTCTTTCACTCCACCATCTTGACTCTGCCTCTCCTACCTTATTTCTTTAGGATGAAACTCTAATGAAGATTTTTTCCTTCAGCACTATGCATGTTGGTTACAAGGGTTTGGTTTTGTTTTTCTGATAGAGGTGAGTAGGGGAAGGAGAGAAAATAGATTTTTGTTCATTGAAAAAAATTAAACTAAGGTAAAAAAAGTTTCTTAGCAAGCAAAAGTCAGGGAAACAAGAGAACATTTTTTCCCCTGCTTCCCCTGTACCATAAATATTATATATATATAATCAGACTTAACATCTTTGGCCCTGAGCCCAGTGCTTCCAAGCATTGCCTCACTTACCCTAATACTTCAGGCAGTGTTAAAATTGTCAACTTCTAACTTCTCACGTAATCTGTGGTGTCTTATATAAATACATACTCTTGGATTTTCCAGCTGATGTTACTGTCAGTAGAAAGATTTTCCAGTTGATGTTACTGTAGAAAGACAAGGGCTTGTAATAACAAAGAGAAAGGTATAAGGCTATGATTCAAGCACACATAATTTTGTTAGTGTGGGTATATCCTCTGCCTACATAGATTACAAATAGTCCATAGTATTTGTCTTCACGGGTGGCTTTGGCCAACATACACACAATATACACACATCATTTTTCTGATAATAAACCTTTCATAACTAGTCTAGGCTGGTCCTTGGTCAACAGGCATACAATTTGTCATCAGGTCTTTCTGGCTAGGTAGGGCCTGCTAGAGCTTATGCTCAATTGGCATAGCTTTGGAGAGCATAGGGTCACCTCCCCACTACGATAAAGCATTGGAATAGGACTTCTATGGTTTACACTTAACGGTTATGAGAGGTCTTAAAAGTGTATAGAAGTAATAGGCATCCCTGGTCTTCATGGAAATATGAATGGAACTAACTTTCACAAGTGGAAATGCCTTGTCCTCATCTGTAAATGGGTGTTCTCTGCCTCATTTCTTATTTTGCTTTAATCACTAAATGGGCATTGCTTCAGCCAAACTGAGATCTGTTAAAGACTTTAGCTTAAAAAGGCCAAGGTTCCCCATTGCATCCAGGACCAATATCCAGTCATCCTGATCTATATTTTGCCACTAGACCAAGATAGCTCAGGAGGAGAAAGTGAGACTGGTGACTTTGCACAGCCCTCCCTCACTTAAATCCAATTTACTTGCATGTACATTGCCTCCCTGATGTCATAGTTCTCTTTGAGAATGAAGGACAAACAACAAATGGGTGTGACAGTACCTGTACTGACAGGTAGAGTGGTATAGTGGAATGAGCTCTGTCTCTAGTGTCGGGGACTCTGTTTCAACTTTCTTCTCAGACATTCACTATCTGTGTATCTTATGAGGTAAGCCATCTCTCTTGACCTCAGTTGCATCATCTATTAAATGAGGGTGTTGGAGTAGACCTGTGGCCTTCAGGTCTCATGTGCCCTTCTAGGTCCTTGGCTATAGCCTTTTGACTGAGTCCAAGCTTTACAGAACAAATTCTTTTATTAAGGGAATTTGTTCTGTAAAGTTTGGATTCAGCCAAAGGGCTGCAGTTGAGGACCTAGTGGGCCACGTGTGACCTTGAGGCTGCAGGTTCCCCACCCCTGGACTAGATGACTTCCAATGGACCTTCTAGTTCTAGAGGTTCTAAACCCAGAGTACACAGACAGACCCCAAAGAAACCCATGGATAGATTTCAGGGGTCTACATCTTTATTTTCACTGAACTTTGGTTTCTTTTGTAATCTTACATAAAATAACATCACTTTTTTTGTTATGCATTTAGAAGTATTGTTCAGAGAAGGGGTCCATAAGCTTCACCAAATTGCCAAAGGGATCCACAACACACAAAAAGGCAGAGAACCCCGGCCTCGCTCTGTGGTCCTTTGATGGCCTCATAAAGTCGTAGAGAACCAGAGAAGCAGCAATTTTAGAGATAGACTGGACCTCAGTGGCCATCTAGTCCAACCCATCCCAGAAAGGAATCCCTGATATAACATGCCTGGCACTTGATCACACAACCTCTACTTGAAAGGAAAAACAAGAAGATCGCCGACTCCACATGTCAGTCCATTCTGCTTCTGATCAGCTCTAATAGTTAATTGACCCTAGTTACAACTTATACACATTGTTCCTGTTGTTCCTGCCTTTTCCCTTTGGGTCCAAGCAGAACAATTCTTTTTTTTAATTAATTTATTTTGAATTATTAACAATCACTTCTATAAGTTTTTGAGTTTTAAATTTTTCTCCTCCTCCCTTCCCACCTCCCTCTCCAAGATGGCGCACAATCTGATGTAGGCTATACATATACATTCTTATTAAACACATTTTCACATTAGTGATGTTGTAAATAAGAATCAGAACCAATAGGAGGAACCACCAGAAAGAGGAAACAAAGCACAACAGAAGAAAAAAAAGTAGCAAATAGTATGCTTTGATCTGCATTCAAACTCCATAGTTCTTTCTTTGGATGTGGATAGCATTTTCCATCATAAGGCCTTTAGAGATATCTTAGATCCTTGTATTGCTGAGAAGGGTTAAGCCTATCAATATTAGTCATTGCACAACGTGGCTGTTACTGTGTACAACATTCTCCTGGTTCTGCTCATTTCACTCAGCATCAGACCATACAAGTATTTCCAGGTTTTCAAGCAGAACAAGTCTAATAGTTCTTCCAAATGATAGGCTTTCAAATGTTGTTGAGTTGTTTCAGTCATGTCTGACTCTTCATGATCCCATTTGGGGTTTTCTTGGCAAAGATACTGGCATGGTTTACCATTTCCTTCTCCAGCTCATTTTACAGATGAGGAAACTGAGGCAAACAGGGTGAAGTGACTTGCCCAGATTCACACAGCTAGTAAGTGTTTGAGGTCAGATTTGAACTCAGGAAGATGAGTCTCCCTGACTCCAGGCCCAGTGTTCTGTGCACTCTGGCGCCCCGTAGCTGCTGCTTTCTTTGAAAGCTACTGGAGGGTAGATATTTCATTCCCCCACAGTCTTTTCTTCTCCAGGCTGAACACCGGCAGGCCCTTCAATGGATCCTCATGTGACATGGACTTGAAGCCCTTCACTCTATTTCTTGCCTTCTTTTGGACACTTTTCAGCCCATACATGTATTTCACAAATCCATGGAGCCCAGAAATAACACAATATTCCAAATCTGGTAAGATGCAGCATGATCAAAGGAAAAGAACCATGGACTTGGAGTCAAGACACTAGGGTTCATGTGAACTCTATTGCTTACTAGCTGTGAGACTTTGGATAAGTCATTTAACTTCTCTGAATTTTAAGTGCTTCATTTGTCAGAGCAAATCAATTCAACAAACATATGAAAGAGCTACACTGTAGCGTAAGACATTGTGCTGAACACTGAGGAGCAATACAGCTCCTCTGCCTTGCACATAGTAGATGCTTAATGTTTATTAAAGGAAGGAGTTGATACTCTAATATGTGAGGAATACCACTTACCACAGATTAATAGGATTCAAGGGACACTGATAAGGGCAGAGAAGAGGTCTAGACTAAGTGCTATAAGGAAATTTGAGGAGGGAGAGATCATTTTGTTGGAGAGATCAGGGAAGACTTCTTGGAGAAGGGGGCTCAACCTGAGTTGGGCCTTGAAGAAGGAGAAAGATTTCAGCAGGTAGAGATGTGGAGGGAGGGACAATACTCCCTGCCCCACCTTGCCTAATAGAATTGTGGGGAGCGGATGGAAGCAGGCACAGGAGATAATGTCTTAGGGCCATAGAGATGGGAGGGGATACTGCTGTCTGAATGATTCTGGAACAGTCTCTGAGCATCCATTGCCCTGACTCGGAAGCAGCTTCAGAATGAATGCTTACCACTCTTTCAGGGTTTCTAGGAGAAGGTAGCAGACAAATCTGGGGCAGGGCAGGGGAGGAGGAGTAATCTAGGGCTAGGGGCACAGGTGTAACTAAGTCCCCAAAAGGAAAAAGGAACAAAGTATGATGAGTCGACAGTCAGCTGCTCTGGGAGAGGCTGTTCTTTCCTCTTTCCCCTCCTTTCCTGCTTCTTTCCTCTTCCCTTTTATCCTGAACTTACCCAGCATCAAATAAGATGAACGTTTGTATATACAAAGCAAAGGAGGAAAGTGGATTACCCATGTAGCTGAGAATCTGACCCCCAAACTGTTTGTTTCTCACTCCAGGTAGGATATATTAACGGATCTGTTTTCCAGAGCCCTTTCAGCATTTGCCATGTTCCTTTATTTGGGTCATCTTTGTCTGATGGGTGTGAGGTGATAACTCAGAAATGCTTTAATTTTTCTAATTATTGGTGATTCTGAGTATTTTTTCACCTGGCTAATGATATCTTGCATTTCTTCTTCAGAAAGAAGATATCTTTTGACTATCAATAGTGTTGTTGGTAATAGTGGAGTAGGAACAGCAAAGTCTTATTTTTCCCCCAGAGCAGTGAGGCCCCATCCTTTTGCTATATGTTGATTAGGCAACCTTTTTCTCTATATTCTTAGCCCTTTCCCCCATATGCTGAACAGACAACTACTTCCCCCATATGCTGAATAGGCAACCTCACTACTCTGTAGCCCACCCTATCACCAGGAACCTTGTGGTCAAGGGACTCTCCCAAGACCATGCAAGTGCAATGAGACTCCTCAGTGCCTAATAGTAACTTATGTGATGTCAAAGCCCCCATTAACATTTCATGAATATGATAATGAAGGGACTCTCGAGAATGAAAGTATAACTATTTCATGATAGCCACCTGGAAGACCCAGTACAGTGTAGGCACAAGTCTTTTTTTTGCTTGCATAACACAAAAATTATGCCATACCAAATTTCCCTAAGTTACTCCCCCTTCAGCTTTGATATAAGCAAGTCCCTATTCCCCTTCCAACCAACCAACCAGTATCCTGAGCTGCTTGGTTGTTTGCTTTTATGAATAAAGCCCTTCTTGGAAGGACTTTGGCCTTGGTATTCTTACCAACTCTGAACCAGCTTTCCCACTGCATTTCTTGGTGCTGAAACCCAGGATGAGAGGTTAGTGCCTCAGTGGCACTCTCTTCCTCCTATGCCAGATTCCTTTCTTAAGCCGGCTTCCCTGATTTGACCCCAGTCCAGGATGGATAAGTCTTTTCACTTTCTTTATAGAGATCGTCTTCTCCCTTGCCCTACCCACAAAAAACCTGGGGAATCCCCGAGAAGCCTCCACTTCTCAGTGGCAGTTGGATAGTACCAACTCTAGAGGGAGTTGTGTACCATGCAGTCCTACTGTAGTAGCCTTCCATTAAACTAAGGGACACCTTGATTGCAATGGTCCATACTTTCATTTTCTCCCCATCTTCTCAGGAAGCTGAGACCCCTGAGGATTCTGGTTGTTTGAGATGGGACAGGAACCATCTATCCTGGCATGCCCCTCTTTGGGCTACTTGTTAAAGAATTGGGAAAAATTTGCAAGAGGTAGCCTGAGGAGAAAGTGTCTAGT